ACTAAAGATCTCTGTGGGCATTTCATTTGTCGTCGAGAATCAAATAGATTGATTACACGACATTTGAAAAACGGCAGAAAGGAGGGAAAATTTTTAAAAAAGTGAGGTTGAGGTGGGAAGTTAGTGTCCCGATTGGATCGAAGTCACGATAGCTCAAGTGGTAGAGCAGCGGCGTATCTAGCCGAAGGTCGTGAGTTCAAATTCCGCTCGTGACACTGACTTTTTTATCTCAATTGAAAAACTTAATTAATTGAAATATATTAATTGGTCAAGCGGACCACGAAAACTAGTGGAGTTACATTTTACGTAAATTATTTTACTTTACACTTTATTATTCCAAAGTATTTTCTGATTTTAGAAACAACAACTGACTTGGTTTTTGTTTACGCAATTAAGTTTCATTTCCCTTTCATAACAAACTTGATGCCTCCTTCTAACACAAGGTTTTCAAGAAATTTGGAAATTATTACATCTAATGATCATTGGAAATTTTTATCTAAGAAATATAATCTAGTCTTCTCATTGACCCCTGAAAATATCTATAATTGACATGTCCATTTTTTGGGTTCTCGTCTCCAAGATAGTTTCTCGGCATAGGGAAGAACGTTTATTACGTGTACGAACATCTACAGGCTTGTCTCTTTACAATGAATTAGAAGATTCACCCATTTTTGATTCCTAGAAGTATAATTTTTATGGTCTTTCCTTGCCTGAACAACGGTAAGCTTATATGTAAAGTTTTAAATGTAAATTTAGCTGTGTGGAGTAGGCGTAACTTTGGTATATGTTTCCTGTGCAATTTTCGTTCTGACTGTGTTTCACTTTTTGGCAGAGTGCTCGATTTTGGGTTAGCTTTTGCTCTTACACCTTGGTTGTTTTACACTGCAAGAAGTGAGATATTGCAGAGAATGGTTCGTATTCTCAATGCTCCATTCGGTTTGAGCTAAAGGTACGAATTGATTCAAGAATTCAATTTGCGCAAGAAACTGCATTGACCACAATAAATTTTGCTTTAACAGAAACATTCTTGCGCAATAATAGTGAACCAGGTTTTATTTATGGCCATTTCCGACGCTGACATCTTTCTTAATAAATTTTTCGACGAATAAAGTTGAGGGGATAAATATTACTCCTAAATATTTGTATACTTACCACCTCTATAAGTTCACCTCTGAACTGTTAACTGTACTACGTCGGGATAGACAGAAATAATCTTCCAGAAGCAGTGTGGCTTAAATAAGTAATGGAGGGAAAGCAATGTTAGCTACCTTAACTTATTTTCGAAATTACTATTGACTTAAGGACATATTTTAATTGTAGTCAGGTGATGGTGTAAAAACAATTCTTGGCTGTTCTTAATAATAAAATAGTAGTACAATATAAAAAGGATAGAGAAAAATTAGTTATGCATGATGGACAATATTGTTTCATGACCAACATCAACAGTTTAAAAATGTGATGTACGTACAACTTAACCCTGCTTAAAAATCAGCACAACCTGCTGTTGGTAGTAACAACTTTTTTTCTTTTATAAATTTGAATTTTTAGCAAATTGTTACAGACATTAGGCCTGATACATAACATAAGGTTTTCCACCCTAAATTTGTGCAACCAATGAAAAAGGAAAATTGGATTGTTTCAATTGAAATCTAATAAAGAAGAAAATTATTATTTTAGGGAAATTCTCTTATCAAATTTTATTAAAAATTTGTCCAGTGTAATTTACCTTCTTACATATTGAATAATGTCCTGGTGGTATTAAAGGGAAAACTTGGCGATAATTATGTTGGGGTCCTCAAATCTCCAGCTCGTAGTAGTTTCCCCGAGTGCATTAATAATACATTATAAAGTTTGGCAACTTATCTCGGCTCACTTATCCAACTTCGTGCCCTTCTCTTACGTACAAATATTGAGTAATATACGGTTATTGTTTAAATAGTATTTAATTTGAGCGCTGAAGTTCAACGGCCTTTTTTAATTTTTCAATTCGATACAAATATTCCAAGAATTTATTACATCTCAAGAAAGAATAAGCCGTGAAAAAATTAGAGAATGTAATATTTTGTATATCATTAATATAAAAGTCTTGTTGTAGGAATATTAAGCCAAGAGAATCTCTGTCTAACATTAAAAACATATATTGGTTTTATTTTGAATTGAACTTCTGATATTTTTGCACAATTTTGTGCCCACTCTTTTTTATGGTTAGGTTTTTTTAAGTGGCACTGCATGTCGGCTGTTAATAGGAGATGCAGATTCCAGCATGTCGCTGATGTAAAATTTGAAAAGAAGAAGAGTTTTGGGAAAAGGTCATACCAAGATCACACACGAACTTTTTCTAATGGGAGTGACACCAAGTAAGCGTCCGTTGTGGGGAGATCTTATCGTGGTAGATATAATAACAGACTCCAAAGAACAAAGTGTGCAAAGAAAGATATAAGACATCCAAGACAAAGATTTGTGAAGTGTGTATATAATTTATTAACGTGAATGGAGGGCATATCCTCCCGAGGAATATCGAGCACCCTGAGGTAGTGTGAATGAAAACAAAACTATCATGTTTTTATCTTGTCTCTGCTGTCTATTTGTGTTATATTATTCACCATTGACGAGAGCCTGAGGTACAGATCGGCCAGCAATAGAATAAAAAAAAGGGAGAGTTGTTTACCATTATTACAGAAAACTCAATTCACTAGTTTTCTTGGTCCGCTTGACCAATTAATATATTATAATTAATTAAGGTTTTTAGTTGAGATAAAAAAGTCAATGTCACGAGCGGGATTCGAACCCAAGACCTTCGGCTAGATACGCCTCTGCTCTACCACTTGGGCTATCGTGACCTCGATCCACTTGGACACTAACTTCCCATCTCAACCCAACCTTTTGAATTTTTACTCCTTTTTCCCATTTTTTAAATGTCGTGTAATCGGATTGGATTTGGCCACGGAGAGCTAATTTCAACTATCGCCGAGAATCGAATGGGGGTTGAGATGGGAAGTTAGTGTCCGAGGTGGATCGAGGTCACGATAGCTCAAGCGGTAGAGTAGGCATATCTAGCCGAAGGTCGTGGGTTCGAATCCCGCTCATGACATTGACTTTTTTTATTTCAACTAAAACCCTTAATTAATTGAAAGATATTAATTGGTCAAGGGGACCACGAAAACTAGTGAATTTAATGAGTAAAAATAAAGTATACACTAAAAACCTTAATTAATTAAAACATCAATACTTCCCGGAGAAACAGTAATAGAAATTAGTAAGTTTAAAAAACAATTATTCAACGAAATGTAGTTAAGGACGAAAAATAGTTAATTGAAAATAATGTTTGCTTAAAATACTTTGTAAAAATTATACAGAAAATAATTTTTTGTAAGTACTAAAATCATTAAAATCATGGGTTTTTTTCGAGAAAGCAGTTTTAATTTCTTTACGTGAACTGAATTTTAATTAATCATTTTTTCTAACTTGTAACGCCATTACTGTCCCGTATTCTGAACTTTATAAAAGTTGAAGTGCAAACTTTTTATCGACTTAAATCCTTTGCTGGATAAATATCCTCAGTGCAACTGCACTCTTCGTACTGGTGATCTTAGTTGGCGCGTTATAAAAAACTTTTCCTTCGGATATCCTTGTTTTTAACAGGAAAATATCCTTACTTTCGATTTCCTCAGCCCTACTTGTACAGCACGGTTGAACAACTCTTCAAGCTTTTTTTATTAATCATTTCCTTTAATGACTATTAATAAAATAGTAAATAAATGTATGTAAAAATAAATATTTTAATGTATAATTTTTTTAAAATTTTGAGTTAAAGAAAGATTTTGATCTCGAAATTAAAATGTAACAGATTTTCGAATAAATTTCCGCATTAATTTTTCATTCATTTTTATCACAAATAAAAATATTTTACATATTTTGACAGTTCTATTTCACAAAGAACCCAATGTCGCAGGGCCTGTAGCTTTCCATATTATCCATTTTCCCATTTCTAAAGATAGGGGTTGCAATAGACAATTTCAAAGTATCGAAGAATTACCCTTGTTTCATGATTAAATTTAACAGTTTGCAAAAAATCTATGGATTTATTAAAAAATAAAATATTTTTCCTGTTCTCGGTCTGGTGTGATGTAGGTTTCAGAAAAACATTTTCTTTATCGTGCCAACGTTTCGATCTTTATTGAGATCATCGTCAGAGCCTGGGATTTAGAAACATTGTTTACATTTACCAAATTCATGTAGGATGTGGAAAAAAGTGAATTTATACAATGCAAAATATATATTTTTTATATTTAATGGGCGGGGAAGGAAGTCGGTATAGAAAACACATTTTTGTATAACGCGTCGGCTTTTTGAGGTGAAAAGAGCGGACGAAGGGAAAAACATTGGTAATGATTCGAATTACACAGAAGACAAACATTTTCAGTGAGTAGAAATACTTTGATTGAATATAAAAAATATATATTTTCATTGTATAAATTCACTTTCTTCCACATCCTACATTTATTTGTTAAATATAAACAATGTTTATAAATCCCAGGCCCTGAAGATGATCTCAATAAAGATCGAAACGTTGGCACGATAAAGAAAATGTTTTTCTGAAACCTACATCACACCAGACCGCATCTCAAGATTCCTGAATAATTATCGACTAACAGTCACTAATCACCACACATTTAAATAATATATTATAAATCTGTATTCAATAAGCATACTTTAAAAAATAAGATCTAACTATTATAGTACATGTTGCTTCTTTTTTCAAAGATATCGTTGTTATATATAATTGATTTTATTCAACTGTTGAAACATTTAAAAAAGTGCCTGCTGCTCATTTCGATGATAAAGGTTATTAGTTATGCAATCGCATTAAGTTTATTTTAGTACGAGGTTTGCTTTTATTTAATTTTTATGTATATATGTCAATGCCCTTCTTGTTTATCTTTGATTCTTTATACATAAAATTTATCATACTTTTGACATTTTGTCCCTCTATTTTTCAGATATTACAACTTCAGATGAACGACTACAGATACCATTATATGTTTACGACCTTCGTAAGTAAACAATTATTTTTGAAATTTGAGATAAATCTAATTTTGTTTTATTTTACTACATACATTTAGATTTTGTATTAAAAAAAGATCGAGAATAGGGCCAAAATAAATGAAAAATACAATTTCATTTAAAATAGGTTAAAATTTTAATGAATTTTATAAGAAAAATTATCATTTTTTTAATCTAAGGTCTTGGTTTAGATGAAAAAGTTAGTATCACGAGAGGGATTCGAACCTACGACCTTTGGCTCAGTAAGCCATTGCTCTAGCCACTTGAGATATCGTGAAACAACAAACTTCACTTGTTTTTTTTTACTCTTTAGTCCAATTTCCTTCTGTAATTTGCTGATGCTTTGTTTGTGGATTGGTCATTCTCTGGATTGGCTTAAAACGTAGTTGTCTAACAGTGATCGCCTACTCGAACGCTTTTTATTTCTGGAATAAAATCAAGAATTATTCAAATTCCGGAAATAAAGAGTGCATTGATTAGGACACGTGTTGCCGAACCGTCGCTTTATAACTTGAAGTTCTATTGTTTAAAAAATATACTTTTTTATTATTTATCTACTGTTAACCAACAGAGCAAACCAAATGTTTGATATATCATACCCGAAGCTGTACAAATCGCCACTTTTCCTCTCCCCCATTTATTGCAAATAATCGTACGATTATAGGTCACGACAGGGGCGTGCAAATGGTACTAGATAGGTGAGAAATCGCAGGTATGAATCGGCCCAAATCTGTTCCAGATGCGAATCCGATTGAACATGTCCGGAATCCACATCAACGTCGGCCGTTCAATTCAAACGAGGACGGCAGCCGACGCCGCAAGACTCGAAAATACGATTCGGATAGACGTTTATAAATAAATTGTTAAAAATAGAGTTTTATTATTTATACAGTTTAACATACAGATATCCATACGAATTTCAAGATGAAAATGATAATGTGGTTTAAACTCAATAAATCAATCGATTTTTAAAATAAAAAAATTGCCTATAGATTCAAAGGTATTCATAAATGATTACGATTTTTTTCTTTAAAAGTGATTGGTTTGTATGGATTTTCTGTGTCACTGAGCAGGTAACTGTGTAATTGCTTTATTGGTTATTTATTTTATACATTCCGTCGTTGGTCACTTGTTGCTGTAGGAATTTGTAACTAGCATATTGACCACCTTGTACGCCAGCCTTGATTTTTTAAAAGTTATTTTTTGTCTTACCTGGAACAATCTTTCCGAAAGGTAAGAGGTCAAAAGTTCAATTGTCTTGGGAATATTTTTCTTTTTTTAGTAACTTCTATATTAAACCTCTTTCTCTTATTTGCTTTCTATATCTATCTACCTACCTATCAGTTTTATCGATATTGTTTTATTTACTCTTCTTCTATTTTCTTCTTCTTCACTCATCTCGATGATTTTATTTTAATAGCGTTTATTCTTTGTTCGGATAGAATTTTAAGATAAGTGAGGACATCTGATATTTTAAATACAGTTACAGCTTTAGACTATTCTGTTGGCCTGCTTTTAGCAGCAGGTAATGTTAACGATCATCACTTTTTTTGTCGGATGTCGGATAGAGATTTATTAATTGCAAGTAGGTAAATACTCTATAAGTAAAAAATAAATATTGATTTTCACATATGACATCACATTCAACAGCGTCCGCATCACTGGAGAGTGTGTATCGTTCGGTTAGTTAGGTTGGTTTAGAATTGCGGTTAGGGTTAGGTTAGGTTACGTAGTGTTTATGTTAGAGTTAGGGTTATTTGAGGTTACATATCTCTGATGGGGAAGATATGCGAGGACTAAGTTTGTTTTTACTTTTGCGATGTCAGGTGGGTAGCCACTGTTGACATGTAGAGTCCAAGTTTTTTAGACTATTGGTGCCTAGGGTACAATAGAAAGGGATTAGTTTAGGTTATGTGGGGTTAGTATGCTAGTTTGAAACGGGTCGGGTTAGGTCGTGTGAGGATTGAGACGCGTTTAGTTATACATCCATGATTCAATGATTTTCCCTAAAAGAGAGAAAATGTGGTTTGTTTTTATTTTTCCCATGACATGTGGGTGGCTATTTACTCTTGACACGGGGAATCCATGATCTGGTGACAATTGGCTGGTGCTTCAGTTTAGAGTTCGGAAGGGGTTATTTGTTTACGTGGGGTTAATATTTGGATTGGGGTAAATCCACAGACCAAACTGATGGTAAACCTAGGTTAATATGCTACAGTTTTACAGTGTGAAATCATAGCGATTGAACAATGAGCCGGATAAATAAAAAGGCTAGGAATGTATTCCTGGAAGATTTTTCTGAAGAACAGGCAGCACTAAGGGAGACGGAAGTCAGTGACACTAATGACCTGACCATGTCATTGGTCCATGGGTACTCAGGGCAAAGAGGAAACGAAAAGGTTTGACTCTCTAGTTCCTATACCCTACTGTGGCTTAGCACCCCGCCACAAAAGAGGATCTTAAAAAGGATCCTTAATGAGTCCAAAACTTGTTGGAACAATCCCACAAGTATGAGGCACGCAAAAAGGTTCATAGAAGTTCCCATCCCCAAAACTTACAAAAGAATTACTGGAAGGCAACCACAACCGAACCAGGATTCTAGTTGGACTCCAGACAAAGCACTGCCACATAAGCAAGCACATCCACTGGATAGAAATACAGACAGAAGAAACACTGTGCAGATACAGCCAGGAAAAGGAGGAGAGCGCAGAACACATTTTATGTTTCTGTGAAGGTCTATGTAGGTGCAGATTCTTGCAACTGGACCAGAAAAGCTGCAAGCAAGATCCGATACTATGGTGCCGCTGGCAAACCTATGGAGGCTGCCTAACAACCTGAAACTGGCCTGTGAGTTATAAAAACAAGGCAGCACAATAGATCTACTCAGGTCGAGGCAGTAGGCCTTGTGGCCGCCTCTTTTATCCCTATCCCTATCCTTAATATATGGATTACGTGTAGGCGAGGTATGTGTTTGAGTTAAGGACTGCTTAGGTTAGGTTTCTATGGTCACGATTATGACGGGTAAGAATTAGGGCAGGTTATATATCCATTTTTTTTCAACTTGCAACGAGGTTGCTTGAATCTTCGGGGTTCCGGTTTTTTTAAAAAGCCGATTTGTAAGTATGCAGGCAACTGGATTCGAACCCGGGACCTTTTCCTGACAGTGATGTGCGCCGTGTCAACGCCTAAACGGTTGCGTCCACAGTCGGCCCTTATCTATCCTTATCTCTTATTCAATGTTAATATGTGGGTGCCCAGGTTTTAAAAGTCCGAAGTCTCCGTCAGCGCCGTCCAAGATTTTGAGATCGGCCTAGGGAAAAAAAAGCTGAAGGGGTGTGCCTGGTATCTGATATTTGTGTTCTTTCAACAGAAAATATTCTAGTGTAAAAGTGTGGTTTCTGTTGAAAAAAATATTTTATTAATTTAGCTTTTGAAAATTTTTCAACAATATTTCAGATATTCTGAAAGTGGTGAGGATAATAAACTACAACAAACATTCTTTCCTTTTACTTTGTTTTATTTTTCGGCTATGCATTTCGAAGCTATTTTACCAGTTCTCATCTTCAAAGCTACATTAATTAAGAATAAAGCTATTTTATATTACAATCGAAAAATGTTTAAAATAATCCAGCAAGAATGTGATCCTGACATTTTACCTTTATCATATTGTCACATTGCTAAAGACAAAAAGGTTCAATTGTATATAAACTCCCTAAAGGTCAGTATCACATTGCTGACGGTTTATTTTAAATATTTTTATTATTGTAATATATAGAGTTTTATTGTGCATTAATGTATACATGAAGAGAAGAGCAGGAAAAATAGCTGCTAAATGCAAAGCCAAAAAAATAAAATAAAGTAAAGAAAGTAATAGATGCTGGAAGTTCATTATTATCGCAACTTTCAGAAAATAAAAATTAAAACGACTAAATTTTAAAAATGCTTGATATTTCGGATTTGTAATTGAGATTAAACGAATATTATGTAAATAAATATTGACTATGCAATGTTGGATTAATTATTCAATAATTTCTGATTTAATTCAAGCCATAGTGATTAAAAGAAACTTAAATAAACTTTATTATAAGAAGTAATATTATTATTTAAATCAGTGTTTACTTTTGGATTAATAATGTCTGTCTTGAACCAGAAAAAAGTTCGAAATGAAATTCATAAACCACTTCCTTATCAAAGTTGATATGATTTATGAACAAAGGCTTTATTAATTTTTTTTCAAAATGATATATACCTTTGAGCCTTCGTGTTGTGCATTTAATCCAAGATATCTCATTTTCTTCCCTGGTAGGGTTTTCAATCTCACTTTTTTTTAGTGATTTAAAGCATTTCGTGGAGCACATGTAAAAACTCGCCCGGTTTTTATCCTCTGCCTGGCTGGAGTGATGAATGATTCCCTCCTGTCCCCTGAAGGCCGATACATCAGCGGCAAGTCGGCTTCGACACCCAATTGGCGTGGGCTTTTAAGTGGTTTCACAGAAATGAACGGGAGGGCGGACTTTTTGACCGGGCTTTTAATCCAGCGACAACACGACAAACAATCGACTCGAATGCCAGTTTAACGGGACATCTGTTTCTATTAAAATGCAATACTTTCTGCTTTAAAGTAATAACATCATTGGATGATCGCCAGAATTGTTTCAGCAGAATTATTATATCCTTTGTATTACAATAGTCCCTCACAAATCATTTTAAAATCACATATTTTTCTGCATTCAACGAGTATTTTTCATCTATTTTTATGCACAAATATCTTTTCTTTTAAATATCCTTTCATTTATTTATTGTTATATAAGAAAATAAGATAGAATGCAGGCCAAAACATCGTCAGACAAACAAGGGTTGTTGTTATTAGCTCAAAATGCATTTGTTTTAACAATGAGAAAAATTAAAATACTAGAATTATTTAATAAAATACCACCAGAATAGGTTGCCACACGGACACTCAACCGGTGTGTGTTTCCGGCTTGCAGAA